CATAGAGTGCATGTGCATGTGGGGGGGGGGGGGCACATCCCACAGCATCGCGGGAGGCCTTGCATTCTACTTTTGGAGATGTTGAGGATGATCCATGAGTCTATGAACTCACCACCTGCAAAGTTTGGGAAAAATTATTTACACCTCTGTGAGCCTTTATTTTCCAAGCTATAAGGAGGAAAATGCTTCCAGACTTGCAGTGATATGCAAATGCCGGGTTTTAATAATGACAATCCTTTTATCAATTAGGAGAAATTTTCCTTCAAAATCATTTGCTTTCAAAATCATTTTCCTTCCTTGGGTACCATTAATGGAGAAAATGGTAATGCTCTTTTTTATCAGAATAAGCTTCTGGTACATTCCTAAAGATTGGAAACCTTCAGCATTAGAGCCAGCAGAGAACGCGGAGTGATTAAATCCTCTTGGGTTCTGAGCCATGCAGCTGGGAGCAAGATGAGCGATGCCCCTCTCTGTGACAGAGGTTTATTTAGCAGCCTGGCTAGGGAAGTCTAAAAGTCCTCATGTCCTAGATCAGAGGCACAAGAGGAGCTCTGAAGAGGAGGAAAGAGATATTGAAACTTTTATGGGATGGTTGCCTTCATCAAAAGATTCTTCTATATCCCAGCCCCTCAAACAAGCATTGTGTCACATTCTTTTGTGAGGACTGGCTGGAAGAAGAATCTTTTAAAAGGCTTCTGCTTATTGATTGTCAGGAACAGACTTCTATTTAAATTTTAACAGTTCTCAGCAAGCTTGCAATTCTGAAGCTTGTGAACAGGCAAGTCCTTCCTAAACTACTTTTTTTGGTACAAATCAGAGTGCCCATGAGATGGATCGGGTTCATTTGTATTAGTTTTCAGTTTAATCTCTCTTCCTGCCAGATCTTTTATCTTTTAGTAGGGAAGAAAAAGGATAAATAAAGAATTCTATAGATGCAGCCAGAGGGCTGAGCAGAGCCTGAGACTCAGAGGAGATTAATAGGCCCCGTTGTCAAATCAAACTGGGCAGCAGACCCTGCAACTCAGGTTATTGACTTTCAAGAGCTGTTTACACTCCAAATGAACAAGTGGCTGAGGGTCACAAGGGGCAAAGAGGGCAGAAAAAGCAGTGTCTTAATGTGACTTTGTGTTGCCATAGCAGAGTACCTGAGGCTAGATAATCTACACAGAGAAGAGGATTGTTCGGCTCATGTTTCTACTGGTTGGAAAGTCCAAGTAGCTTGATGTGGCATCCAGTGAGAGCACCAGCAGTGTCACACTATGGCGGGGGAGGAGAAGGGAATGTGGGTACAGGTAGAGAGACCAAGAGGAGGTGCCAACTCCCTTTGAAATCACCAACTCTTGAGGTAACCAATCCAGTCCTGCAAGAGTAAGAACTCTCTTCTGCAGGAAGGTATTACTCCTTCTTAAAAGCCTCCACCCCTCTCAGAGGAACCACCTCCCAACACCACCTGCTAGCCTCAGTGTGAGAGTTGGTGAGGACACCACCACATTCAGACCACAGCAGGCAGCATCCCGAGGCTCTCCCTGCCCCTTCCCTTGGCCTGATAAATCTGTGCAGTCAACTGATCATGACACCCGTCCTTTTGACTTTGTCCCTTCCTGCACCAACTGTCACTCACCCTGTATCTGACTGACCAGGTGAGTCTCTCCCTTCGAGCCACTGTGACATCTAAAGGAAAAGGGCTGGAAGAGAAGTTTAATTGAGGGCTGCATCACTCAGGGCTTCTGCTGAAACAGCTGACACTCTTGAATGAGAATGACCAAGGAGGAGGTTTTAGAGAACATTTCCAGAAGTGGGGGGGACCCACCGTGACCTGGGGCTGCTGGCCTCAGAGCTGGCTCAATACTTGGGACAGAGACCAGGGGAGTCACAGGGTCTCTGAGGGAGAGGTTGTGTAGAGCTGCCATCCAGAGAAGCCAGGGACATGTGGATGGAAGACATGGCAAATCCAAGGCACCCTCTCAGAGGACACAGCAGAGCTCTGCCCTCCTCCTGGTCCCCCACTGGAGGTCACAGTGTAAATCTCCACCCCACCAGGCCACTTGCCTGTGGGCAAGCGCTTTCAGTATTGACTTCATACACAGCAGTTGCAGGAGCTCTGTGACACTCCATTCCATTTTCTCACTTGTTTTAGGTTTTAATTCATGGTAAAATATACATAACAAAATTTACCATCTCAACCATTCTTAAGAGGATAGTGGTGCCAAAGAGATTCACATTATTATGTCAAAAATACCAACGTGCATCTCCAAAACTCTTTTCATGTCGTAAAAGTGAAGTTCGGCACCTATTTCATAGCATTTTTCCATTGCTGGGACACAGGACTTGACACAACTTACAGGAGGAGAAGTCTATTGTAGCTCATTTTCAGCCCATGGTCAGCTGGCTCCAACACAGAAACAGGATGGCAGAGGTGCACAGTGGATAAAAAGCTACTCACCCCATGGCAGTCAGAAAAGGAAGGAGCTGAGGAGGAAAATACACCCTTCCAGGTCATACCCGCAGTGACCCGCTCTCCCCACCAGGCCCCGCCTCCCTCCAGCATACTCGGCCGTGGATTCATCAGTAGCGCCCCATGATCCGGTCACCTTCCACAAGCCTGACATTTGAACATATGAGCCTTTTGGGGACACTGTAGATCTAAACTATAACAACCCATGAGAAACAGTAACTCGCTATTTCCCCCTTCCTTGAACCCCTTGTGCTGTCTATGAACTAGAATCACATCGTGTTTCTGCTTTTGTGACTGACTAATCTGACTCACCATAGATCCTTAAGATTCATCTATGCTATAGCATATGTCAGAATTCTTTCCTTTTTAGAGCTGAAGAATACTCCCTTGCATGGATGTACACACTTTGTTTATCCATTCATCCATCAGCAGCAAACACTGGGTAGCTTCCTCTTCGGCTCATGTGGATAATGCTGCTGCAAACCTTGGAATGCAAATGTCTCTTTAAAACCCTGCTCTTAGTTCTTTGGGGCATATATTCAGAAGTAGAATGGCTAAATGATGTAATTCTATTTCTAATTTTTTGGAGGAAGCACCATACTGTTTTCCATAATGGCTGCACCATGATACATTCCCATCAGTGGTGTACAGATCCTCACCAACACCGGTGATTTTCTAACTTTTTTGATAATAATCATCCTAATGAGTTGAGATAGTATATCACTGTGGTTGTGACTTGTCTCTAATTTTTACAGAAGTTCAAACATAATCAAACTCTAAATGGAAGAGCTGATAGCCAAGGACATTGTTACCAACATGCAGTCTCTGTTTTTCTTGCCATGCACCAGTTGTCTTTGAAATGAAGACTGTTTGCATAGAAAAACACCTTGGCAAGGGAGGCCCTGCTGCATATTAGCCATTGATATTAGGGAAGGCTCTCTTGCCCTCTATGGTGACAAGTGGCCCTCATTTATAAGAGCCTGTCTAGAAAACCAGGTTACCATGAGCTGCTTGATGTGGAGAGGAGGCTGTCAGACTCCAGCATGAAGAGAAGTGGGTAGGTCTATTCATAGCTATGGAGGTGCATACATTGTGTTTTAAAGGAAACATAAAGACAGGGGATCCTCATCAACTGTGATTACCCATGTCACCGGAAAGCCAGAGCCAAGAGCACAAAATAGCCCAGCTGGTGGTGAAGACTGCATTCCCAGAAAGCCATTTTTGGCAGCAGCCTTATTTGAAATAATTAAAAAGATTCAATCTTTGTAGTCCAACTGGCATCATGCTTCAGCACAGTTTAACTTGTGCTAAAGAATCACTCCAGTTAACAAATTCTGGATTAATGATAGACATCTCTGTGTGAGAGTCAACAGATGTTGTTTTGGGGGGGTCTCATTTTCATTTTGGAGGAATTTGTGGCCTCTTTCTGGTGACTACAGGGAGCCGAGTGCTGGGTATGTTTCAGTGGGCTCCATGCACGCACTGCCACACCACAGGTCACCCCACCATGTGAGTCCCACAGACATGTCTTCAGGAGTCTAACAGGTGGCTGTGATTCCATGTGTGGGGATGACATGCTGGTGGCATTGTCTGCAGTTTGAGCAGAGCCGAGCACACTAGCAGGAAGTCATGTGCCAGCTGTCTTGGACCATCTCCAGCATGGATAAGAGGAACCACAGCACCACCTCAGAGAAGCGAGCAAGATGGGTGGATGTCCACAGCTGAATTTCCAACCCTGTATCTCACCTCGCCTACACTTGGAAATGTAGTCTGGGCATCACTGTGCACAGAGTAGGAGCCGACAGTGGGTGCTCAAAGTCATGCCAGATCGCATGCGGTCCAGAGCATCACTCTGAAAAACAGCTGGGCCAAGAAACCTGTTTAAACTCTGCAAAGGCGTTGGGTCCCGCAGAATCTCCAGAAGCCTGCCTTGCAGCAACAGCCCATTTGGCTGACAGAGTCGCTTCTCCACACCTGCCAGAAAGTGGTACAGGAAGATACTCCAGACTCGCTGTGAATCCTATCCCATTTCTCCAGCCAGAGCCACTCAGGGGCGTGGTGGTAATGGGCTGCCACGCTGCAGATGGGTTGCAAAATGCACAGCCCATCTGTCTTTATCATGCTCATTTCCTCTTTTATTAAAATGTTAATGAATATAGTTTTTATTTATCATCCAGTGACATGTGCACCATCCTTTTCTGGGAGGCAGATCTGCAATCTGCCTAACCATGGAGCTGACACAACTTTTTCCCATTTCATACTGCACCCAGGATTTAGGAATATTTTCATAATTTTTAAAATACCATATGCAGGTTGAACTCAAAATTGCTTTATATTTTGGCAACAACATAGGGATGATAGGAGGTGTGCTAGATTTGGGGTGAGAAACTAGAATTCACGGGTTACTAGGCATGTGACTTGAGCCTCAGTCTCCACATCTGTCTATTAGGGATAGCCATTCCTTCTCCTAGCACTGTTTTGGATTCATTTATCATTCAAACGCATGATTATTTGGGTTTTGAATCTGTTTTGCTCATTCCTTTAGACTCTCCCTGGAAAGTGCACCTGTCAGACATTGGCCCGGAGATGACAGGCATCACCGTGAGTGGCCTGACCCCAGCCCGCACCTATCAGTTCCGAGTGTGCGCGGTGAACCAAGTGGGCAAGGGCCAGTACAGTGCAGAGACAAGCAGGTGAGTGGAGCCCAGGCCTCTGAGTCAGATACACGTGCTACACGGGTAGAGGTGATTCTTTGATCATCCCTTAGGGACGCTGCAAAAAGTCGAGCAGAAGAGAATGTCACAGAGAGGGCACACGCAGCCCTCAGTACAAGGGAGGAAAATAAGCTGGGTGTTCCTTAACTACTTGGAGGCACTGTCTTCGGTTTCCTCTGTGGTGCTCTGGCTGTGCCTACACAGATGGCTCGAGGTGGCACAGCCCTCTGTATTCAGGAGATTAAGGGCTTACACAGACCCCGAGAGCTGTTCTTGGGAGTCCATCTAGGTTGAGGGAGCCATCTCCAGGCAATCTGAGCTCTGGATGGCCTGAGTTATACAGTCATTGACATTGAAATGAGTTTTTTCAAATGTGGGAGTTTAAGATGAAAAATAATGAAAGAACCAAAGAAAACAATCTAAAAGGAGCCTCAGCCTCTGGGACACAAGCAGTGCATGCAACTGCTCATCCTCTCCTAGTGCTGAGACACTGGGGTTCTTCAAACAGAACAGGGTGCCCCTGGCATCCTCCACACCACCCGCCTTACTGATTTGCTCCTCTTGGATGGTTGGAACTGTCGACACACATCTTGCACTGAGATGAGCCACATTTCTTGTTGCTCATTTTCGCAATAAGATCTAGGTTCGGCCTGGTGGAGAATGCTGTCGAGGTCCTCTGTGTCTGATGCTTATCTCCTTCTCTCCTCCTCTTCCTTTATTCATAGGTTGATGTTGCCTGAAGAACCACCCAGTGCTCCCCCAAAAAACATCGTGGCCAGTGGGCGCACCAACCAGTCCATCATGGTGCAGTGGCAGCCTCCCCCAGAAACAGAGCACAATGGGGTGCTACGTGGGTACATCCTCAGGCAAGTAGCCTGTGCTAATTCCCGGTGGTCAGTAGGAAGAGGCAGGTCTCTGCTTCCTAAGTGTCTATACGAGCCAGTCAGTAATGTGAGGCCTCAGGTCAGGGCCCAGACTCTGCAGAGTGGGGGTACTGTGGTAAACTGGAGAGCATGAGTGAATATGACCCCTTGCAGAGGCCCCATGCATGGCCACCCACAAGGTCTACACACAGCACCAGTGGTTGTGTTTGGGCAGGAGAATGGAGGGGGACATTATGGGTAAGGAAGCAAAGCAGGCTATTCAGTGTAAGTCCTTTAATTCCTTTTTTACTAGGTGCATGCATTCACTCACTTATAATCCATACTAACTAGTTTGATGTACTTTTGAGCCAGTTGTACTATGCTAACATGTTCAATTTTGTCAGATCTAGCATTTCAAAGAAATAAAAACATCTAGCCTTTTTCTTACAAGCTCACAACATTTAGGCCCTGGAAATGAAACTGATGTATTTTGGGATATGGCACAGGGCAGATGCTCACATGTGCCAGCCAGATGTGGTGGAAGGGTGATCAGTTTGCTGTCTGCCTCGGAAGGGATGGGTAGGCTTCTAAAAATATTGAGAGAACCGTGTGAGAACTTGGCTGTGTTCAACAGAAGAAATCTCCTTTGCCAAAACTCCTGCTAATATAAAAATCACATGAATGTGATAATTACAGTGGTTTATTGACACAGTAAAAAGAAAAAAACTAACATAGTATTAAAGAATAATTATTAAATCTCCTCTAATATATTATACTGCTGTGGATATATTTGTTAAATTTATCAGCCTTACTGGGGCAAGAACTACTGGTATCCACTATTCCTTCCTCCAAATGTATGCCCTGGCCTCACACTGAGTTTATGATCAGTAAATACTATACTTGGTTAACAAAGGTCTTAAGTAGACACATTTGATTTCTTAGATAAAGGTAAGAAGTCATGAGAGTGTTGCTTCTTTAATAACTGCATTATCTTTGTATTTGAAGGATCACTAGGCCCCAGTCCACTTGTATACAGTCATCCATACCTCTGTGAATGGTGTTTATCTCTGTGCATGTAATATTTGTGTCATAATTCACTGCTACTTTCAAGTGTTTCCTCGGGTCTGTGTATTCTCCAGACCATTGTCTGCTTCAGGTGGCAGAAGTGGCCCGTCCTGGGGGTACAGGAAGGGCTGGAGTCAACTTCATGGCCACTGTTATCTCTAGGTCCCCAGCTCTCCTCCATTTGAAGAAGTCAGAGAAATTGAGGGTCATCCCATGCAGACAGGACCATGGGCTCTGTTCCTGCTGATGCTTCTGGACAGCCCTCTGCTCCCTGACCACCTTCTCAGCTTTTCTGCTGCTGTGTGGCTGAGGTTCCTATCCTTCCTTGCCTGGCATTCCAGCTCTAGCTGTCACCCCTCATGCATACCCATCCACTAATGAGAGTAATTGGCCTGCCTGCCCTGGCTGACCCCCCTTTGCCAGGCATCTGCAGCCCCTGCCTCTCCTGACTCATTGAGGGAAAGTTTCCTTGGGCTGCCGCTGTCAAGAAAGGACTTTAAAAGTCATCCTGCAAAAGCAGGCTCGGGGCGCAGAGTTAATAATAACATGTCTCTGATGCTATGAGGCCACATCAGGAACTGCGCATTTCTCTATTTGGTGGGATTACTACTGTTAAAAGGATTTTCCATGATGGTGTCAGTAGAGTTGAGTGCCAGAGAAGAGGGCATCTGTATCTGTTGGGGCTTAAATCAAGAAAGCCCTAAAATAAGGGCATGATACCCAAGGCCTGTGAATATCAAAGTTTTCAGAAATTAAAGACCCATGCCAAAATGAATTTGCCTGGAAACATCTTCAAATAATCCTCTGGTCTGCAAATCAGTGCTCCGTTTGCAAGCATGCATCCTCCAGGGCACAGTCTCTGTCAAAACCGAGGCCCAGTACACGAAGAGCAAATGGAAATAAATCACCTCCACGGCTCTTGCCATAAGAAGTTGTTAGGCTGCGTGGGCAGTAATAAAATATTTATAATAATAGGCAGGGTGTTTCTCTGAGAGGAGCAGAGGGTTATGTCCTCTAAAAACATTCTCCTGTTTATTTCTGTATAAAAAATCATCTTGTTCTCACTGAGGCAGTCTCCTGGGCAACATAGCCTACCAGTAAGAAGAGGATGCCTTGCACTCCCCTTATTAATTGTGACCTTCTTAGACATCATGTGAAAGTTACAAAAGCATCCTGAGCCGTTGGTTAGAGTGGGTCAACCTGCCTGTGTCAGCAGGGAACACAGATGACTTTGAAGAAGGGAGTTGTGCAGTTCATTTTTGCTGTCCCAGAGTGGCATAGGAAAATGTAGTTGGCTTCTGCAGGCCTCCTCGTCCTCCTTAAGTTTATCTTCCTCCCTCCCTCCCTTTCTTCCTTCCTTCCATCTTTCTTCTTCTTTTGGAGTAGTAGTGGGGATAGAACCCATTGCCTTTGCGCTAAGCTACATCCTAGCCTTTTATTTTTATTTTGAGACAGAATCTTGCCAAGTTAGGTTGCCCAGGCTGGACTCAACATTAAAAGCCTCATACCTCAGCCTGCCAGAGTGGTGACATTACAGGTGTGCACCACAGGTTTCCTGTCTTATAACTCAAAGTCATCTCTCCCATGCTTTAGTAGAAGAGCAGTATTTAAAACAAAATGAGGGGCACTCTACACTTCCGCATGTCTTTCGCATCCACTGTTTCACTCATTCTTGCAGCAGCTGTATGAAATGCTGTTACTCTAATTCCCACTTTAGAGAAGTGGAAACAAAGCTTAGAGAAGTTCAGAATTTGCCTGAGGTCACTCAACTCATAGTGGCTAAACAGCGGCTCAACCTCAACCTTGCCATGCTAATTTCTTTCCTTTTTTCTGGACTGTGATGGGTGTGCAGGAACGAGCCCTTCCTACAGAGTCTTACTCACTGTGTCCTGCTGGCTATGGGTCAGTGATAGCGAAGCTTTTTGAGCTTTCAGTTATACAAACAGTGTGCTGCGGCATGAGTGCCATAGGTTCGCCACCCCTGCTGTAGGTGGTTCTTGTTAGTACTCACATGCCCAGGCTACTCTGATGTGGAGGTGGAGACCATTTTTTTTTTACCTTTTTCTAAATTTCTAATTGTCCTCAGTGCCATTTTGCTTAAAGTTCATCATTTGTAGGGGAATTTAAATGGAAATACCTGTCACATGGGTTAGTCCATGCCAGGCCCAAGCTGCAGCCATTTCCTCCCTTCAGGCAAGAGGTGAAAGGAAGACTCAGGCCCTCTTTTTATTCAGATGCTGTCTGCTCTTAATCATCTATGTTGCCCCCCAAACCAGCCTCACCAAGTACAAAGCATCTTTATCAAGAGGGGATGAAAGAATGCTGGCAGAAAATCCTGATTTTCATGCAGAAACTTTTATTGTCTTCTCTCTGCTTCCGTATTACACGTTCAGCTATCGTTCTCTTTAGGAGATTGTTTTACATTGAAGGAATTGAATGTCTGCGTTCTTTGATTTTTTTTCTAATCGTGGTGGCCTTACAGATGCACCTATCCACACCCGCCTTTCTCAGGTGTGTTCCTTCACGCAGAGGTGTTCTGCCCTGGGGACAGGCAGCACCGTGGAGTATGCTGGGAATCCCAGCGGGCCATGACAAGTGAATGAATTTATTGCTGCTACTCTGGTTTTGGATCCCTCATCAATCATTTCCCCTTTCCATTTATCAAACAAAGCCACATTCTTTGAGCAGTTTATGAACCACTTTTGGGATAAAATTTCAATGTTTTGAAAGCTGCAGGATGACTAGGAAATCACCCCTATTGCACCTATCTCTTGTCTTACTCTGGGGACTGATCCACAAAAGCTCAACAAATCAACTGAGTTAGTTCAGTACATTAACTTCTATAAACTGAACCATGGGAGAATAGTTACTAATCAAAATAATGTTCTAAAAGTCCTTTCATAGTACAAAGCAATTTCTTAATTTATGCATTTTCTGAGTGTGGAGCTGTATGAGTCACCTTCTTAATAAACACAACATTAAATTTCTGACTTTAGTAAACTAAAGAGCATGTTACCAAGGCACTCACAAAGGCCTTTAAAAAGCCCTGTGTCACCTTAGCAAGGGATTTGCATTGAAGAAGGTTAACACCTTCTCAAAGCCAGTTATTCTAGTTCTGGGATCCACTTGGAGGAACCACAACTTCTAAATGGAAACAGAACCACAGCTCATCCCACAAAGGTCAAGAAGCCACATACGTTTTGCTTCTTGATTTTTTCCCCACAGTGCAGTCACAAGAGGACGATGGTTTTCAAGCCCCAACGGAAATCATATTTAGAGTTTTGGGTACTCAGGCATTGTACACTCTACACAAGTTACATTTAAAAAGCTATCATTTTTCCATAACTATAGTACATTGAAGTAGCAATTCCTTATACTCAGAGTTTATAATCACTGTGAGAGTAGAATATACCTTTTTGAAGTAGTTAAATTAATAAGTGTTGTTGTCTAGGGCTGACTTCTTAATTCTGCATGTATCCTCTTCCATTTTCCTCTAACTGTGCAGAATGACCACAGTGAACCTGGCTGCTGCTTGAGCTGTTTCTTTGTTGACAAGGGCTTCTTTCTGGTGCAGGTACCGCCTAGCCGGCCTGCCTGGTGAACACCAGCAGAGGAATATCACCAGCCCGGAAGTGAACTACTGCCTAGTGACAGACCTGATCATCTGGACACAGTATGAAATCCAGGTGGCCGCATACAATGGGGCTGGCCTGGGCGTCTTCAGCAGGGCCGTGGCCGAGTACACTTTACAAGGAGGTAAGCTTGCTTTCCAAAGCCTCAGGCTATAGAGTCCGTGGAGGAGTGGGGTTTTGTGAAGTTTGATTGCAGTGTGTTGGAACAAAATTAAAGGATGCAGTCTCCTAGGGAGCATTTAGACAAATACTAACATCTCTTCGTGTATTCCTAAAATGAAGCAATGTGGTGGAGAGGAAGCAAATAATGTCCCAGCTGCATTTTTCTAGGTAGCAAAATCAAGAAGTATCTGTGTACATCCTTTACTAACATACCTTTACTTGAAACGGTTGTGGAAGTGAACTTTTCTAACTGGAGATAAGTGTGTGTTTTACAATAACGCTGGCAGTGGAGTTCTATGTGATGCTGTGACTCTTTCAGAGAGAATGATTACAGTTTTGTTTTTAGTGATAGAAGGTGAATATTGGCAATGGAATTTGCAGCTCTGTGCCTTTTTTACTTTTTTTTTTTTTTTTGGTGTTTTCTTTTTCCTTTTCGTTGGTTACACAAGCAACAATTTACTAGATCAATGAAAAGCTTCCCCATCCCTGAAAAAAAAAAAAAATGACCAGACAGAATGTCATAAAGCCACTGGGTCTTAAATATATGTGCTAAGGCTCAGCCCTGTTGTTTTAAGTCTTTTTACAGCATCTAATCCCCTGCCCCACTTCTCCCACTTTGTGGAGGATTGTGAGTCTCAGCCCTGGCAAGAGTTGGCCAGGTGGGACACTTTCTCTACACCTGCACTTCATCGTTATTGTTCTGAGCAGTAATACATAGACCCTCTTTTGACGTACTGCATTTGTTCTGCAGCAGCCCGCATCCTTGCCCGGGGAAGTAATTTATCCACAAAATCTAAAATCCTTTTTCCATTCAGCGATTTACACCTTCTCCTTTTCACAGGTGTGATTTTATTTGCTTAGGTGTTTTTATGGCCGCTAGGCCTTGACCTTCTTCAAATGATAAGGTTTCTAACTGCCCACTTCTCTCCCCAAATCATGCCTGAGACCTAATGTACCTTGATATTACATGCTGTTATTATCATCCCTTATTGATTGGCTGTCTGTTGTCATCCCCAAGTCCATAAATCCTCCTTTATAAATTAAGTGCAGTCAGTTCCGCCGGCACAGTGACTAGCAGAAACATTAAAATGCAGGGCAGCTAGGAAGGACCTGTCCATCTGCAAGTAATTCTGGATTACTCATTTGAAGAGGAAAATAACTGAAAACCTGGACAATGAATATTTGCTTTAATTAGTCTATTTAATAAAATAACAATAAACTTGGAAACAGTTAAAATGACTAATGTTGCTATTAATAATCCCCTATTACTATTAACTGTGACTGCCTTGTTTTATTATTGGTGCATTTGGGTTCTGTGTAGAGCACAGGAAAGCAGATCTCAGCCTGATTGAGAGAGCCTGTAAGGCTTCAGACTTTGGCTTTCATGCAGCTGGCACTGGGGAGCCATTAAAGGCATAAGAGCTGTGAGTGACATGATCAGAATGCTGTGGACCTGTGCGGGTGAGATGGAAGCAGAATGCAGGCAGCACCTCCAGAGACATCAGAGCAGTAACTTGACTGTGCAGTGGTAGGAGCCCCCCTTGATGGCTGGCACTGACGGCAGATCAGGATAGGTCTTTGCGTGGCACGTTGTCCTTTCAAAATAGTTCCCATGTATCACCTCACTTGTGGCCCCTGCAGTCCTCTAAAGGGATGCTACTCAATTTCACAGCCTCATCTGGTGTTTCCTGCACAGGAGGGCTGGCTATAAAAACGGGTTGGCTGCCCAGACCCTTCCTCCAATTGCTTGCAATTTATAGGATAGGACAGTCACTAATGCATAAAGAACTATACGTTGGTTAACGTCAACTTTGTGCAAATCACATGAGCCAGCACATAGCAGAACCAGCTCTAATATTCCTCTAATATTCCTGAATGACATCAGCAGCCCCAACATCAGCAAGACCTCCCTTATGGCATGATTTGGAATGGTCTGGATGTCCAAGGCCAGGTTCTTCAGAGTGATGAAGTCACTGGAGCATCTTTAGCTCCCTGAAAGACTGCTCTCCTCATGGGTAAAGACCAAACTTCTGTTCCATTTTTGCTACATGTAGTTCTTCCTCTGCTCTTTGCTAACTACTCAGAGGTAATGTTGGAGGCCAAGGCCACATGTGCAGTTTCCCGTCTGCATCCCTTCTGGAGCATAGAGGTCTTTCCTTCACCTTAGTGTTTGATGCCAAATGTTGGGACATGGAGCTCAGAGTCCCACAGGCTTCAGACCTGGCTTATTTCTTGTCTTCACTCACCATGCAGCATTTTTGTTTTGATGCTCTGGTGGGCTTCTCCACGTGTACATGGCTTCCCTGTGCACACACAGTGGCCATCTTTGCTGCCCTCTCCCAAGCCTGTGTAAAGAGACTTCCTTGTGTGGGCTCAGGGAACACAGCGGAGCCAGTGTTTTCTGCCAGGGACTCAGCCTTTCCCTCTGTATGTCTCCAACTTCACTGTGCTCTGCAGGATTGTAAATACCCCAGAAATGTCCCCTGAGTTTGCTGTGGTTCAATCAGTCATTTCATGCTCTTCCTGAGCCACTGGAAAGAATTTCTTAGACTGTGACAGCTTCTGAGATGTCCTCATGAAGCACCTGCACATCCAACCCAGCTGGTTCAAGGGAAGCATTGAGCCCCAAGACAAATCAGGGGTGATAATACTTACTAATCATAGTGTGGGGACACAATGTTTTGGATTTGGCTGTGGTACTGATCCCAAGGCTCTTCACTGGCTTCAGGAGGGACCCATGGCTTGGGAGGTTGTATCAGCTTTCCTATCACTGGGACGACATATCTGATACCTATAACTTAAAGGAAGAGAGGTATACTTTGTTTTTTTTTTTTTTTTTTTTTTTTTTTTTTTTGGATTTTTCTCCGGTACCAGGAACCGAACTCACTACCTTGCGCTTGCCAAGCAGGCACTTTTACCGCTGAGCTAAATCCCCAGCCCCTAAGAGCGGTATACTTTGGCTTACAGTTCCAATGGGTTTGGTCTATGATTTGCTGGCTCCAAAGCAAAAACAGCATAGTGGAGGTCAGTGTTCATACTACTGTGGTCAGAAAGCAGAGAGAGAGGAGGAGAAAGTGTACACCGTCCAGTAATATTCTTCTTCCAGCCAGGCCCCCACCTCTGAATGTGAGACTTCTGGGGGACATTTTAAATCTAAACTATAATAAGAGCCCAGCTGGACCCAGCCCCAGAGGCTTCAGGGTGCAGTCATACTGTGCCATTGCCCCTGCTTTCCATCATTGCCCAGTTGCTGCACCCCAGCAGAACAAAATGATGAGTCTTGTGAATCCTGTCCTTGACCCCGCATTCCCATGCAAGACAGGTCACAAACAGGAGGGTGTGAGACCACTGGAGGGAAGAGTGCAGAGACCAGAAGGACTGGGCATTGACAGGGAGGACTTAGTGAGCAGGACAGGACGTTGTAAGACTAGATGACACATCAGGAAAAGTGCCAGCAGGAAGGACCAAAAATGCCTGAGGGAGGTATGGTATAGACTGGGGATGAGATAAAACACATCTGAGTACTCACATCTCTCTACAGAAGAGACTCCCGTCCATGCCTGACTCATGAATACCATCACCGGCACCTTCTGGGTGCACTTTTCACTGTCCTGGACCTCCAAATTTCCATCTGTGAAATTGTAGTGTCTATTCCTGCCTTGCTGTAAGGTGGCTGTGAAGAAAGGAATAGGAACACGCTTTGAAAATTTGAGACATATAAAGACACCGATAGTGCTGCTGTCTTCTGTTATGCTACTGTGACAACGACTAGCATGTTCTGTTGTGTTTGAAAGTTTCTACATTAGCTGTCTTACAGAAAGAGATTCGGGGTCATCCCCTCTGCTAATAGTAGAAGCAGACACAGACATTCCAGAACTGTCCTGGGCTCCTACTGTGTGCTGAGAGCTGTGGGCCAGGCCTTTTCATGGAGGTAGAGGAGACACCCAGCATGCTTTCAGCTTTGGGGTGTGTGGGGCAGCCCCACAGGTAAGGTAGAGGGATGCTGAGACCAAGGGAAAACTAGCAAGGAAATCAGCCCTGTTTGTGTCATTGTTCCTCATTCACCTACAGCCCAATGGCACCACACCTGCTCAGAAGGTACCCTGTCAGGACACTCAGGCCACAGACATGAAAGCCACCACTAAAGAAGAGCTTATTGGGATCTCTGGGGTGGAGCCATATAGAGGAGTAAGTTTGCAGCTGCCTGTATTGGTCAGAAAGGGTGTCCAGCTGCTAGAAACACATTCCGTGTAGCACTAACTTAAACAAAATAAAGATATGTCTTTATTTTTCTCACATCAAATGACCAGGCAGTGGGACATAGTAGGAGGGTTGTAAGTGCAGCTCCAGGGTCAACAAAGAATCTTCTGTCTTTCTGCCTTCCCATCTTTAACATTTGCCTCATGGTCACGAGATGACTACTGCAGTGCCAGCTCTCACATCCACACACTAGAAGCCAGGATGGAGGGAGGAACAGGGGTATACCTCTCGGCCAAGTATATTCACCTTTAAAGATCTTTGTTAAAAGTGCCATGACTTCTGTTTACAATCCATAGAAGTATTTGTGCAGGGTAAGCTGGAAATGTGATCTTTTTGCATGATGTGTTTCTGTCTGTTGTCTGGAGAGAGGAGGGGATGAAGGTGCAGTTAGCAATTCCTGCTTCACTTTCCAAGATGACCTGCTGAACAGGAAGTCAGGGATTCCACAGGTTCTAAATATGAAACTACACCACCTCTGTCTCTTGACTGCCTGGGTGGAAGTGAGTGCCTTAGGGCCTGAGGAATTATCAGGGCTTCAGACATACAGCTCCTCCAGGCCATGACTCCATCTAGTTCCCCAGAGGGCCCTACGGGTGGGCCCTGAGCCCAGTGGACTGTTGTGCAGTAGCTGAGCAGCTTTTTCCTGCTGCTGGAAACCCGCTTTGTATCCTTGGGGTATCTCACATCTGTGACCACTGAGAA